CCACCTTAGGTGTATGTGGCTGGCGCCTTAGCCGATTGAGCCACAGGCGCCGAGCCAGGCCTTATTCTTTAACCCTAGCCTATAGTCCTGTGGGTCACAGGCTGTTCTTCCCCACTTTTGCTCCTCATCCACTCTGTTTTCCCCTCCTCATTCTCCAGCACAGCACCCATTCCCCCATCCCTGCCCTATGGGTGGAGGGGAGAGAAGGAGGAGGGCCATGTTTTTAGCTCTCTGGGTCTAGGATTGTCATTGTGTACTCAGATGTACCTGGTCGTCTTTCCAGTATCTGAGCCAGAGTAGGACCCACTCAGGCCAGGATAAACCTGCTGAGACCCTAGGGGCCAGTTAAGATTCTATAGCGCCCCCCCCCCCCCACCCAATATCCTGTTGATTCGGAAACATCTGGCAGCAGCCATATTAATCAGTATTTTGTCCATTCCTATTGGCATCACTTAAATGGTCTGGACCACCAAAGAAAGGACATAGTGTGAGGGGTGGTGGTGGAGGAGGTGGGTGGACTTGGGAGCTACTTTGTAACTTTCTGAGCCTCAAATTTCCTGGCACAGTGGGAGCAGTGGGAGGCTGGCTTATTGTCTGTGGTGTCAAGCAGCATGAGTAGGGCAAATTGCTGAAAAGCTGTAGACAGCTCTGCAGTGTTGGTGGACTGTGAGCTCCTCAAGGCTCTGATCCTGCCCTTTCCCTCTGTACCTGAAGGGTCAGGTCCATATAAGGGGACTGTTTTAGGAGCCCCTGCATGTTTTATTAGCAATGTGGTCTTAAGAGAAGTTGTACCTTAACTGGAAGGATTTGTGTGAGTAAAAGCAGAGAAGGGAACAGTGTGTCCTTACGTGGGCTTTGTGGGTGGAGTTAACGAAGAAAAACAGTGTAGGAAAGGAGGTTTCTCTCTACTCCCACCCCCATCACCACAGGGCTGCACAGGCTCCACATGGGGCACAGGAACACTTCTTTACCCCACCCCAGACGTAGATTGCTGCTTCTGGCTTCCTGGGACAGTGAGGGAAAAGGTCAGCGCTCTAAACCTCAGCTCGTTATGTTAAGGTTATTAATAACAATGTCGCTCTCTCTAATGAGGCCACACCTGCTATTTACAAATCTCCTTCCTTCCTCAGAGGAGCTCCCTCACCCCAGAGGAGGGAGAAGTGGAAATGGCAGCTACTCCACAGGCAGAAAACAGAGATGTGTGGCACCTTTCCTTAAGACACACAGCAATGCTGCCCTCTATGTTTTCAGACTCAACTAAAGACACTGCCTCCTCCTGGAAGGTTCCCCAAACTGCTACTGCTGCACTCTACTTCCTCTTCCCTCCTTCTCTCCCACCAGAAGAGGACTGTCTCAGTGGCTGGGCAGGGCAAAGAGCTTCTACTTGGAGCCTGACCCTGTGTCAGCCACTTAATACAAGTTCTCATTTACTTCTTCCAATCATAAGAGGTAGGAGTTTGAAAAACAACCAGACTGAAGTTTGACATACTGAGCTGTGTAACATAGGCAAGCCTCTTAACCAGTTTGTTCATCTGTCAAATGTGCAGGTTACAGGTTACAGGGCTCCAGTGACTTCACAGCTTATAGTTGGCCCTCAACCAGTGGTAGTTCTAGAGAAGGAGAGATGAAGCCATTTGTCCCCATAGCTAAGAAATGGAGATGCTGGCTCGGTGCCTGTGGCTCAAGCGGCTAACGTGCCAGCCACATACACCT